TGACTTAACTATACAAAATAAAACTATTGTATAGATGAATTGCAGAGGCCATAAAGTCTGAATCCATGGGAAAGTTATTATAATCCGTTTTCTTTTCTCACTATTAATTGATTCCAGAGAGAAAACACACATTACTACAAATTATCTAGTTCACAGTGCAGATGCCTAATCCTGCAGCCATTACATATATGTAACTACCATTGAAATAAATCAGAATCATGCATTTAAGAAGATTGCAGGATCAGGATCAGATTTACTTTCATATCACTTTTATTCATTGACAGAAAGTGTTTACTTCCCAGTGCATTATAAAGAGCGATAGGCAAACCACAAAAAGGCACAATGCTTGGATAAGCAACAAAAACTCTGGATCAAGAGTGGATGCTCTTCTGAATTATATCTCAACTGTCAAAAAGTACATGATTCTGTACTGCTGGGCTGGAAGTCTCATAAGATTATGTACTTCAGCACTTCTGTTTCAGTCCTGCCTAGAATGAGGCAGTGTAAAAACATACACAAACTATTCTATAAGAGGAAGCAAGTTACGCACATTTTTCAAAACTTAAACTTGATTCTATCAATATGCCAAAAAGGGTTGTGCTAATTCTTATTTTAACCAGTCTGACTATCCCTATTAATAATGTTCAATCATTGTTTTGTCATTTTTATAACACCACCTCTTTTGAACACCAGGTCCAAGCCCTGCTGCCCTATGAGGAAGTTCAAATCCAGATTCAAACCTTTCTAGCTTGGTCAACCTCTATAAAGTACCATTCCCTGGGCACACCGAAGTCAATGAAAAGACTCCTACTGACTTCAGATTTATATCAAAATTGTGATCCAAACATCATGATTTGGGCCCATCTCTAGTCTCTATGTAACAATAAAAACAAACACTGAAAGACAGTCCTTTATTTTGTTTTACATAATGTTTTACATAATGTGAAGTATATTGTAAGTTTTACAAAAAATCCGGTGGCTCCTGAGGGAATGAAGGTTAAATTTTTAATGACACCCACTTTAACTGGTTCCCTTCCATATCTAATATTGATGTTTCCATTATAATCAAATGCAGGTTTAAGTAAACAAAACTTAGTAATATCCAAGTTCTGGTATTATAATACACATTTTTCTTGATGTTATAGCTGTGCATCAGATGCCTTATGAAAGCAAACATTGCTCTAGATTAGTAGTTTCTCAACAATCTTACACTATATTTGTTGGCCAGATGTTATGAGTTTAATCCCAGGCAGGTTCTAACAGGTATTGATGATTTCATAGAAAACACTTAAGCAAGCAGTGTCAATGGAAGCTTCAATGCTTCATTATGAAGATAGGGAAAGTTCACAAATACAACAACTGTTTTTGCTCCGTTAATGTAAATTAGATATTTTCAATAAAGAGCTGAAAAATCACTATTTCTAGTATATAATTCTTTTTACTACCTAAGCTCTTTTTATACAAAACTTTTCAGAGATTTATAGATTCTAAGGCCAGATGGGACCATGTAGTCTGACCTCCTGTATAACACAGGCCATAGAACATCCCCAAAATAATTCCTAGGATATCTTATATATATATATATATGTATTTTTTCTAAAGCTAGCTAGATAGATAGATCCTTTAGAAAAATATCCAATCTTGATTTTAAAATGGTCAATGAAGGAAGGAGAATCCACCATGACCCTTGGTATGCTGTTCCAATGGTTAATTACTCCCGTAGGTAACAAGACATACATTTTTAACAATCTGGATTTGTCTAGATTTAATTTTCAGCCATTGGACCATGTTATACCTTTTTCTGCTAGATGAAGAGCCCATTATTAAATATTTGTTCCCCATGTACATACTTATAGACTAATTAAGTCACGCCCTTAACTTTCTTTTTGTAGATTCAAAGAGCTAAATTTATTTAGCTTATCACTATAAGACACGCTTTCCAATCCTTTAACCATTCTCATGGCTCTTCTCGGGACTCTCTCTAATTTATCAATATCCTTCTTGGATTGTGAACACGAGAGCTGGACACAGTCTTCCAGCTGTGGTCGTACCTGTACCAAATACAGTAAAATAATCTCTCTACTCCTACTCAAGATTCCCACGTATATGCATCCAAGGACTGAATTAGCCCTTTGGACCACAGCATCACATTGGGAGCTCATGTTCAGCTGATTGTCCACCACAACCCCCCATCTTTTTCAGAATTACTCCTTCCCAGGATAGAGCCCACCCCACATCCTGTGAGTATGGCCTGCATTCTTTGTTCCTTGATGTATACATTTCAATTTAGCCATTTAAAAAGGCATATTATTGCTTGCACCCATCTTATCAAGCAATCCAGATCACCCTGTATCAGTGACGTGTCCTGTTCATTATTTACCACTCACCCAGTTTTGGGGTCATCTGTAAATTTTATAAGTGCTGACTTTATGTTTTCTTCCAGATCATTAATAAAATTGTTAAATAGAGGTGGGCCAAGAACCAATCCCAGTGGGACCCCTCTAGAAAAAACACATGTTCTATGATGATTCCCCATTTACAAATACATTTTGAGACCTATCATTCAGCCAGTTTTTAATCCATTTAATGTGTGACATGTTAATATTATATTGTTCTATTTTTTTAATCAAAATGTCATGAAGTACCATGTCAAATGCTTTACAGAAGTCTAAGTATATTGTGTCAACCCTATTACATTTATCAGCCAAACTTGTAATCTTATAAAAAAATCAAGGTAGTTTGAAAGGATCTATTTTTCATAAACCTGTGTTGACTGGCATTCATTATATTACAATCCTTTAATTCTTTATTAATCAAGTCCCATACCAGTTGCTTTATTATTTTTACTGAGATTGATGCTAGACTGACAGGCCTATAATTACTTGGATCATTGTTTACCCTTTTTAAAATATTAGCTTTCTTCCAACCTTCTGGAACTTCCCCAGTGTTCCCAAACTTATTGAAAATCAATGGTCTAGTAGCACCTCAGCCAGTTATTTTAAAACTCTTAAATGCAAGTGATACATACCTCCTGATTTTAAAATATCTAACTTTAGTAACTCCTGTTTAACATGCTCCTGAGATACTAATAGAATAGAGTGTTATCATGATATAACTATCATCTGTTTTTCCCTCCAACTACAGAACAAATATTTATTGAACACTTCTGCATATTATGCATTATTATGGATAATATTGGACCAATACGATGGTTAAGATTATTTTTTTCCCTAATAAGCTTTAAAAGCCCTCCTCCTTATTATGTTAAACTCTGCTGGCTATAGATTTCTCTTGCTTACCTTGTCAATTTCTTCTATATCTCACTGGTCAGCACTTTATTCTGTTTGCTCATTATAAATGTGATCAAGTCATGATCACTTGTACCTAAGCTACCATTAATTTTTAGTTCTGTGATCAATTCCTCTTTATTGTCAAGACAAGGTCTAATATTGGATGTTGGATGCATGTTCGATGCAACACTTTTTGAGTTAGGAAATTGCCATTTATCATATTTAGAAATTCAAAGGGTGTTGTAATTCTGGCCTCATGAGACTACTCCCATATGTCACTCAGCTTGAAGTCCCCCATGATTACACAGCTATTTCCCCCTAAAATTACAGATAGGTGCATAGGAACCCAGTCAACCTGTTTCCTTGTGTTATTTGGTGGTCTGTTGCATACACCAACTAATACCCCATTTAGTACTTCATTTGTTAGGACACTGATTCATAAGCATTGAGGGTGGTTTTCCCCCCTTCATATAAAGGGGGGTTTTTTTGGAGTTTTTTTTTAGAAACAGAGTTTCTTTCCCGCCCAAACTTTTCATTGCAAAATTTACATTGTCATACACTGAAATTACAAATATCTCATGTGTGTGTCTGAACTGGTCAGTGTTAGGATAGTAGCCATTCACAAGAGGTTTTAACCCTTCAAATTTAGCTAGTGCCTAACAGTTTGAAAAAGGCCAGCTGGGGTGTTGTGCTGGAAAGAAGGGAAGGTTTATGACTGCAGGACAGGCCTCCTAAAAGTGAAAAGGAAGTGTTATTTAACCTTTCACATAACACAAGAACCAGGGGTCACCCAATGAAATTAATAGGTAGCAGACAAACATGAGGAAGTACTTCTTCACACAATACGCAATCAACTTGTAGATCTTGTTACCATGGAATAATGCAAAGGCCAAAATTATAGCTGGGTTCAAAAAAAAGAACAAGATAACTTCCTGGAAGATAGGTCCATCAACAGCTATTAACCAAGATTGTCAGGGATGCAATCCCAAGCCTTTGACTGACAGAAGCAGGGACTGGACAACCAGGGATGGATCATTTGATAATTGCCCTGTTCTGCTCATTCCCTGTGAAGCATCTGGCACTGGCCACTGGCAGGGGACAGGATACCAGGCTGGATGAGCCACTGATCTGATGCAGTGTGGCTGTTCTTATGTTCTTACCTGAACCAATTATTTTGTTTTTTCATTTTGGTGAGAAAAACTGAAGTTTCATTTTCAGGTAAACCCAAGATCCTCCCCCCCCGCCCAATTTTTCAGTTCAGCCACCAAACCGAAACCTCAACTATTCACAATAAGAAGCCGTCGAAAGAATTCATTGGGTAATGGAAGAATGAGGGGAGTTAGTATAGTCATTGAGCCACAAAATGATTCCTTGAAATCTGATAGATGGGGAAGTTAAGGTGGCTAGGGAGTATGAAGTTATATCAGCAGGCTCAGGTCACAAGGAAGGAATAAGGGACATCCTACAGGGCCAAGAGAGGAGGATTTTGATAGGGGACAAAAAGCCTAAGGACATTAAGATTTAAAGTTGCTTTCAGATAACATACTAGGCAAATTAAACACAACATATCAGATTGAAACAACCACCTTTTGTTCATACTTTGAGTCTGAGACATGCCTAACCTCCTTCCTCCCCCCCTTACCGCCCCCCCAAAAAATAACAGCTGATAAAAGCAATGTTACCACCAAAATGTGGAAGTATGTTGTTTATTTCTCCAGTGTGTCTTCTTGGCTTTCTTAAATCAACATAAATAAGGAAAACAGTTTTACAGAAATGTAGGAAATTTGAAATTAGAAGGTGACAGGGAGATGATCTGGTGCTCGGTTTATATTGAACAGTTGGACCCTCCACATAGTTGTCTATTTCCCCTTGCAAATAGAGGCAAAATGTATTGTACCTGCTGTGATTATATGTAGCTAAACACAAAGGCAACTGTTCTTTGTACTAGCTATGCTCTCCATGCATAACCCCTGCCTGAACTCCTTCAGTAGCCATCATTTTGTAGCACAAGTCAGTGCCCTCAAGTTCTTGCATTTCACACCAGCTTAGATAGTTGTTTTAGCATCTTGCCTAAGAAAGACCAAATCCATTTGACAATAGCTGGGGGCCAGCATGGTAAGATTCACAGACGATTCAGGGCAGCACAGCATGTGGCATGGAACATCCGAGTCCCTGTGTCTCTGCTCCTTAAAAAAAAGAAGACAATCATCAAAATCTATAGTAGCTGGGAGCCACATAGGGGACTATGCAGAAACCAGACCTAAAATATTTCATACAGAAAGGTGACATGAATTACAGAAAAGACAACATTGTGGAAATATAGACACAACCTAAGACATAGCTGTAGCCAGTGCTCCATAAAAGTTAGATATAAAACTAGCCCCAGTATAAGGAGTGGAAGAATGTCATGAAGCTCAAGGTTTGCAAACCTTTCATTCGATGTTTCCAGTTTAACAAAAAGATTGTAATGCACACACTAGTTTATGCGCTAAGCCGGAAGGACTTCACTGTGCATGTGAAAACAGTTCTGAGTCTTTCAGTAATTCCCTTTCAAAAACCCATGCTCCTTGCCAAGCCTAACACATTTGATCAAGCTATCTTGGAGACAATCACGATAAGATTAAATAAATTTAGGAAAGTGAACGCTATCTGAATTTCCGACTAAATCCATCACCCAAATGCTTTCACAAGTCTGTCCAAAAAGAAATACCATGGCCTAAGATCATGTATCTGGAATTTCAGGCAGGCTAATTCAGGTTCCAGGAAAGCTAGGATGGGGGTTCAAGTCAGGCATATAATGGGAAGCTAACTTCAACTTTGATTTAGGAGAAAATTGAGTCCTTTCATCATGAATACTGTTTTCACCAGAATTTTTTCCTCTTATCTCTGACTCCTGTTTTGTAGTCTCTGTACATCATTACTATTATTTTACGGTGTCCCCTCTCTTTTGTTTTTCACCATAGTCGCTCGCACACACACACCAGCTTTTTATATCTCTGCTCCTTTTATCACAGGATTTCCTTAGAGGACCACAAAGCCAATAATTCAAACTTGAGCTAATATTTCAAGCCCAAGATTTTCACATAGGTTCAAAACTAGACAAAATGAATTCACCCATCCCTACCTAACACCAATCTTCCTTGGCACTCCATTAGTCATTTTCCTTAGTCCCAAATTGATTTCAGTCATAAGCACAGTACTCTCTAATTTCAATATAAAAGACAAGCCATTTTTTTATCCTCTGAAGTAGCTCACCCCTGAAATTCCTACTTGCAAATTAGTCTCTTGTGCATCATGAAATCAAAAGCGTTTCATATGTCCAGGTAAATTAAACCCATACCTTGTTCTGTAAATTATTTGGTTCTTCCTCAAAATTCATCAAGTTTATTGCATATAGTCTCTGATGTGAATAATAAAAAGTGTATATGGACTGTAAAGATAATCAGCTTTAAAGAACCAATGGTACTTTATGGAGGAAAACATGAAAAATATTATTTGGAAGAAGTGTACCTACTGATCTATAGGCATCTTACATTCTGTGCTTGGAATAGGATTTTTGTTAATAATCGATATGTTCCTGTTAGTTATCCCTCACCTGAAATCATTCTAGGTTTGTAACATTTTAACAACTTCTCAACAAGCAAATTGTGTTGTCACAAAGACAGGATTAGGAAGCAGCAAATGAAAGCGGGCAGGAGCAGACTCTGAATAACAAACTTTTATTTTCAAGAAAGTCTCCCCAGAAATTAAAACATGTGAAGAAATTTCTGAAAATGAGTGCCTTGATGTCAGAAAGGTCTTCAAATTGAACGTTTTGAAGGTTTCTCATGAGTACTGATGACTCTTTAAATTATGATTATCTGGATTTGCCCCATTATACCCACCTTGCATTTGTAGCTTTCTAGACCCCTTCTAGAATAAAAGCATTAATTATTTCCACTCAAGATAATGTGTACTCTGTATAAGGTCTGGCTTAATTTCTGCACCAAATATAGCAATAAACCAATCAGAAGTAACATCAAATATATTGATATTATATTGAATGTGTCAATCTCACAGCTAAGTGTAGGGTGACCAGATAGCATGTGTGAAAAATCGGGACAGGCGCTTACATGAGAAAAAGCCCCAAATATCAGGACTGTCCCTTTAAAATCGGAACATCTTGTCACCCTAGCTATGTGTGTCAGCCTTCAGGATGGGTGTGGTTAGGATGGGAAGGATGTAGAGTATGAGAAATTTAGGCTTTGTTCCAGTTTCCACTCAAGTCAAAGAGGTTGGATTGGACCCTTAGTGAAGACACAAAACGCTATTATTTGGAAGGGGTGTGAAGGAACTCTATAAATACATTGAAGCATGAGAACTGGGTCATAGGTAGTAACTGGGAGGAACGGATTAGGTGTGAAAACAAAGTTTCAGGAAGGGTTTGTCTTGGTGATAGGCTCTACCCAACTGTTAAATTAAACAAAAATATACATAATTCGCCTGTCACAGAATATTTTCTTGTTTTCCCAGTGCTTAGTAGTCCTTTCCCAGAGAAAATCAGTCTCTCATGCTCAGCAGGAATTTACCAGGAAGTAAAAGAAGCTGAAGCACAAAAGACTTTAAATGTAGTTTGACAGTAGAATAATAGAATAGCTGGTCTACAGGAGCTAGACAAACTGTAAAAATACACTTTACCAAGCATGTTATTAGAGTACTTGAAGCAAATTGAGCTTGTAAACTCAGATATGGCCAAACCTATACCATGTGATATTCATTCCAATGCAATGAACATTCAGAGATTTGCAAAAAATATTTCAAACTACTGTTCTCCAACTTAATGTTAATATAGTGTATCAGATAACTGGAATTATTACAGCATTCAACATCAATTACAGCCATTAATCAAGACTATTGGTTAGTATTTACTGAATTCTTAACTTAGTTAACCATATGAAAGCAATTAGATCTCTGTGTTAGTGTTTAAATTGGTATGTGAACTTATATCAATTTCAAGAATTGTCACTGTTTTTTCAGTGAGGTGAGGTGGAATTTGCCTAGGGAGATGGAAACCTCGGTTTCTAATTTCATTTGTAATTTTTTTCCTGTATAATCACTATTAACAGGTCCAATGTGTAGATTGACTAATGATGGGTGAACATCAAATGGTTTAGTGTTTTGATTCAGATAAACAATTCTAAAGTGTGCATACTAACTCTGAACTTATTGTCTTCCTTCTATTTGGGGTAGAAATATCGAAAGAAATTTCTCTAATTTTGCATCTGGTGGCTGCAGGGAGTGGTAGCAGGCAAAATTGGAAAATAATGAAGAAAAAAAGTTAACTATTTTGCACCTCAAAATATTTGAGTTGGGATGTGGTTTGATTTTTGGGCTAAGATTAAGAAGCACTCTTCTTTTATCCCAATCTCAATCTACTACAGAAGATCAGCTTCAATAGCATACATAGAATTCAAATTTTATAGCCCAAGATTTAAAATCTAGAAGGCAATACAACATTCAATATGCCCAACTTTTGACATAATAATATAACATTTTTATTCTAGCAGTCAACCCATAGGATCAGACAGTGATCTCAAACAAGTGCAAGTCTGAGGTTACTCAGATCTGGAAGTGATGCAGTACTAGTTCTCACAGTGCTTGCAGTGCTGAATATTGACTTGGGCTTTTATTTGGATTTTAGCACTCAATTTATCCCTAGAGCATCTCCAGTTATATCTTGCAAATTGTTGTGCTTAACTAGATAGTTGAAAGGAAATGTTCTCATTATTTCTGCATCTTTCAATAGAGGCAATTCCCATTTTGTTTCATTTCAGATGTGGCACACAAAGCAAGTTACTGTGATATCTGTCTTCTGGAGACTTATTATTTATTTTTTGCTGGAATCTGAAATAAGTCACCTTGCTTCAGTTTAAGTCTTTTACTTGTTGTCCTACATTCAGTATACATAGAGAAAAGTTGATCACAGTCATCTTTATAACAGCTCTTGACCTATTTAAAGACTTATCGGGTCCCCCTTCAGTCTTCTTTAATCATCCCCCAGAGCTCTCCCGCTTCTCTCTCTTAACGCCTTCTTCACCCTTACCTTAGGGCTCCCTCTCCAGTGGCTTGAGGGTATCTTCATTACCCAGCCCTTCAGCAGTATTTCCTCTTCTCTGGCGCCTGGGCTTTCTCTGGACTGACCACAGTGAGCCCTTTTACAGTATCAGAGGGGCCTTAATTAGAGTCAGGTGTTCACATTAGCTTAACGGCCTCATCTGACTCTTTGCAGGTTAATTGGAGTCAGGTGATCACCCTAGCCTGGAGCAGTCCCCACTCTGGTCAGTCAGGGAACCGAAAACTGCTTATCCAGTGGCCAATATATCTGCCTTTGACTACTCTGCTGTACCCAACTGGCCTAGGTCTATCACTATATATATTTATATATAGTGATAGACAATATATATCAGTATATTATATTAAAGTCTCATAAAAGTAAAAGAATGAAGAAACTGAATAACATAATTTAAGAAAAACATCTTTTGCTCCACTAGTTTCACTCAATTAAAATAAATATTCTAATTCATCCTGTCGCTCATTCGGATTCCATTTGCATGTCTTTTCATCTCTCTTTTCATCTCAGATTATTTTTTAGTCTGACCACAATTGTCTTCACAGGCTCCAACTTTTCAAAGTGTCTGGGGTACATGACCACCAGCTCTGTCCCAGGCCCCACCCCCACCCCACCCCTTTCTCCAAGGCCCCATCCCTGCTCCGCCTCTTCCTACCCCTGCTCCACGACCAGTTCCGCCCGCTCCACTGAGCTCAGCAGATCCTCGCTCCTCCCCCTCCCTCCCAGCCTCCTGCACACCACAAAACAGCTGATTGTGGTGGCCAGGAGGCACGGGAAAGGAGGGGGAGGCGCTGATCCGTGGGCCTACCAGCAGACAGGAGGCACTGGGTTGGGGGTGGGGAGCTGAAAGGGGGCTGCTGGTGCCTATGATTGTCTCCCCATTTATCTCTGAGACACACTTGTTCCTCTTGTCTCTGTATCAGACCTGTCTACTAGATACATTACTTGTTTGAACTTTAAGAGTTTGTAAATTGTTTATTACTCTGCTTATGTCCCAAGTGCTCCAAAATGACAAAGGCGGAAAAGGGCATTAAAAATAACATATTAATATTATCTCAAAGTTTGGAGAATGCAGAA